TCCTTCCCTGGTTTTGGTATGAGGGTTATGCTTGCTTCATAAAATGTATTAGGAAGTTTTCCATCTTCCTCTATATTCTGGAATAATTTGAGTAGGATTGGTGACAGCTCTTCCCTGAACGTTTGGTAGAACTCAGCAGTGAAGCCATCTGGTCCTGGACTTTTTTTGGTTGGGAGTCTTTTGATGACCTGATCAGTTTCTTCTTTTGTTATAGGTCTGTTCAGGTTTTCTACTTCAGTGTGTGTAAGTTTAGGTAGGTCGTGGTTTTCTAAAAATGTATGTGTCATCTACCTATAGCAGGTTAATGAGTCCTTCTCCAATCATGATGCCATGTTCTTCTTCCTATAGGCCAGCTTCTTGGATTGTTTGTGCAGCATACAGATTGAATAAGTGTGGTGAAAGGATGCAATGCTGACATAGCCTTTGCTGATATTAATAGAAATAATGCAGATTATAGTTAAGTGGTGGTGGTGGTGGTTATGTGCCGTGGAGTTGGTTCCGACTCATAGCGACCCTATACAGGGATTCCGAGGCTGTAAATCTTTATGGGAGCAAAATGCCTCATCTTTCTCCCGAGGAACTGCTTGGTAGCTTTGAACTGCTGATCTTGAGGTTAGTAATCCGATTTGTAATCACTATGCTACCAGAGCGCCTTGATTTTAGATATAGGTACGTTTTATGTAAATAAGTCACAAGTGTAAGTTTAAATATTGATGATTTATTTATTTAGCTAACTTCTTGAAAAGTTGTCTAAGTGACACTAAAAATTAATGGTAATAATATTCAGGAAATTTTTTAAATAAACGATAGACATAAGGTAAAGATATTTTTTAAATTATGGGAAAGATTACAGGTAACTTAATCTCACAATATCTTTATCCTAAGGTTTTTTATTATGCCTGCTTATCCATTTTACTATTTCATGTTGATTAAATAAAATGACTGAGATGTTCTACACAGAGTTAAATGGCTCATGTTGCCATTTAAATACCCTAAATTTTTAAAATTTTGAATTGTGTTTTGAAACAGAATGGGTGCAGGCTTGCTGGTTCTCTTGCTGTCCCTGTTGGTTATAACATCGCTCATAAAAAGAAAGGATAATTTTGTTAATCAAGAGCTGCTGGTACATGTATTCCAGGTCAGTAACAGATCTTCAACATTGTATTATGCTAAAGCTAGAGCAGAGCATATCTCATGGCTGCATTTTGATTAGGTTGTTCTTAAGGTGTCAAGGAGTTTAAGTCATTTAGTTTCCCGCATACTGAAAGTTTTCTGTTAAAGATGTCATATGGAATCAGGTGCTCTAAGAAGTATGATTTAGCAAAATGGTCATCAGAAGAAAGCCTAGAGAAGTCCAGAGAGCAGAGACCTAAGAGGGGACGGCCACTGACCAGAAAGTTGAGCTGAAAATGGTTTTCCCTGAATGATGCCCTACATCGTCCTCGTTTGAATTGGGAGATTTGCTGAGTGCTTACTGTGTGCAAAACCTGCCATTTAACCTATAGGAGTTTTCCAGTATGATCTGCTGCCGCTCACCACTACACTATAGTACCTTTCAAGGTATTTCTGTTAATTGAATGTCTCTGTTTTGCTCATTTGTTTTCAGAATAACAGGTATTTTAAATTTTCTTTTGACTGAAATACATACCTAATTTACCAAATAATGTACAGGAAAACACGTTTCCTTCTTATCCCGGAAATTCTTTGAAGCAGAATCATCCAGCCACTGATTCTAAGATGCACGCTCTTCACACTTGGCTCATCTCTGAAATGACAGTATGTCTCATCGCTGAAGGAATCCTGTGTGGTTTTGCCATAGCTTTAGTGACAGCAGTTTCTCTTCTCCAGTCACTGACAGTCAGACTGTAGGAGCCCTGGTGGGACAGTGGGTTGCTAACTGAAAGCTTGGTGGTTGAAGCCTATCGGCCACTCTGTGGAGAAAGGAGCTTCTGTGAAGACTCACAGCCTCACAAGCCCAGTGAGACCGTGGGTTTAATGTGAGAACTAATGGACTGTCGCCCTGGGATTGTGTGGTCAAGTTCCTGATCAGATCTTTGAGAAATTGTACTTTATTCACAGTCTTAGCTAAGCTCATTTCTTTGAAAGAGCAGCTCATTCACTCGTTCACGAGTCAGAAAACTTTTTCTTAAGAATCATAAAAAAAACCAACAATAGAAAAATCAAACTCACTGCCATTGAGTTGATTTTGACTCATAGTGACCCTGTATAGGGTTTTGTTGTTGTCGTTAAGAGACCCTGTATAGGTTTTCTGAGGAGCGACGGGTGAGCTTGAACTGCCAACCTTGCAGTTCAAATGGCTTTGCAATCTGGTTCATTAATCCACAACACCACACTGGGTTTAGGAGGCTGTAAATCTTTATGGAAGCAGAAAGTCTCATTTTTCTCCCCCAAAGTGGCTGGTGGATTTGAAATGCCAACCTCTCAGTTACCAGTTCATTGCTTATCCTACAGTGCTAGCTGGGCTCCTAAGTCAACGGGTTTGGTTTCAGTTTGACACTATAAACATTACCTCCTGGTGTGGTGCTGTAGGGTAAGCACTGGACTACGAATCACAAGGTTGGCAGTTCAAGCCTACCAGCCACTCCTGGGAAGCCCTATATAAGGTCCCTATGAGTTGGAACTAACTTGCTGGCACTTGACAACAACCAACAGAGAATAGATATGCTTTGTTATTTCACTATTAGATGTATATGCTCGGGCCACAGGTCTATGAATGAGTGAATGGATGAATGAGTGGGTTTATAGTAGATGAGGGCCAGAAGTGGGCAGCACTAAATGGTATACAGTTCATCCCTTTTGTTTCCATGATTTAAGAAACCTTCAACATTAATAACAAATGCTTCTAAATGTGATAATGTATGCCAAAATCTTCTTAAAAGTGTAAATAAAATGCATCATTTCATGCATACAGTGGAGCACCTTTGCTTGCTACAAGAGCACTAACTCACCTTGGCCGCAGAAGGTGAGCTGGGTCCAATTTTGATGGCATTTTGGCCACATTGCTTTTGTTTGCAGCACGTTTCTAGGCAGTTTTACCAGTGTGTCAATCAGATTGGTGAGCCGATGTCTGGTGTTTGTTTTCAGATGCTGAGCACAGTGTTTTCCATGCTTGTTGTGTATGGTACCCATAGCAGTCTGCTCCGGAAACAAGGCCTGCCGCTTCTGAATCAGATTGTCAGCTGGACACTCCTAGGTGAGTGGTCACTCCAATCCTCAAGATGGTTTGAAATGACCCATTTATGCTAAGTTACTATAGAAAGAACTAATTTTATTTGAGGAAAATGCAAGGGGATTTCAAAGAGTTCCTGGACAAATTCCATTTTCAACGAATGTTCTGAGGAAAAACCAGTTATGACTTCTCTCTCTTGGCTTGGTTTTGACAGAATTAGAACTTCTGTGAACATTCATATGTTAGAATAAGAACTACTTGAGAAAATATATGTTGTTAAGGCCATTGAGTCAGTTCCAAGTCATAACGACCCTGTACAAGATTTCTGAGGAGCAACTGGTGAGTTTGAACTGATGACCTTGCAGTTCAAACTGACCTTGTGGTCCAGTACTTTTTGTACAGCTTCTCACCAGGACTCCTGGTATTTATGACCAGGTAAAAAAGGCTGTGTGTAGAGTGAGTGACGTAACCCCCTGAAGAGAAGAAGGTTTTGTGAAGCTTTCCTTGTGGTTAATTCTCATTTCTGCTCATATAGTCTCAGTTCTTCTTGCATAGGAACTAGAAATCAGGTAAAAATAACATTGGTCACCACCCAACACATTTCACATTTTATAAAACCTGTTAGACATTTCCAAACGTTATTTAGGAAGAGGAGCCTTGGTGGTGCTGTTGTTAAAGTGCTTGGCTGTGGACTGGAAAGTAGCGGTGTGAACCCACCAGCTGCTCCGCAGGAGAAAGGTATGCCAGCCTGCTTCTTAGAGATGTTGTTTAGGTCTGTTGACCCTATATAGGGTTTCCAAAGAGTGGTTTCCAACTGCTGACCTTGTGGTTAGCAGTCCAGTGCTTACCCCGTAGCACCACACTAAGACTCCACATAAAGATTGTTGTTGTTGTTAAGTACTGTCATAGTGACCCTGTATAGGGTTTCCGAGGAGCGGCTGGTGAGTTTGAACCACTGACCTTGCAGTTCAAAC